TAATCAAATTTGAGTTGTAATTGATTTGATCAAATCAAAACCGGTTTACAGTTCAATCAACCAGTTGAATTGATTGATCTGATTTGAGTTGAAAAACTATTCTCATATTACATGGAGGGAAAAAAAATACTGGGATAAATGAAGGGATAGTTTGGTCACAAAAATTAGTTGTTTAATTTTATATAATTCATTTGGAAATTCTACATATTTAATTATTAGCTTTTAATTTAATTATATTCAATTTTACAAAATTTTTTAGAATTTGAAATTTTCATTTTTTTTTAAATATAAAAATATAAATTTTCAAATGAATTTCAAAGTGAATTCCAGAAAAGACTTTAACCATAAATATAAAGTGTACAAAATTTAACGAACCTTCATTTATGTACAAACAAACAATAGAGTGTTTTTAAAGTATTGACCTTCCCTAGGGGGTTAAATTTCGCCATTTATTTTAATATAACAGAAAAACAATAAAAGAAAAAACATTTTTTTATTTATTTGAAATCATATATTTAACTTGTTTTTAATTATATACCCCAAGTACATAATTTGCTTTCTTCCTTTCTATATTATATCGTCAAATGTTTTGCGACATTACAATTTATGAGATTTAATTATCATACGTTACATTTATATAATAATTGATAATAAATAAATAAAATTTATAAATAAAATTTTAATTTAGTATAATTTTGTAATTGGCTCTACTATACCATGGATGATTATATTTTTTTTATGATTGATGAAGATGTCTATTGGATTGAAATAATATTATGAACTACATAAGAGGATTAACCCCTCCATTAGCTTATTAAATTAGTGAAAATTTTTGTAAATGAAATGATTCGAACCTAAGACTTCTTACATTTATAAGAATACTAATTAGACCACACTTAATTAGTTATTAACTTTATTTATATAACAGAGTTATTAAAATTTCAATTGTAGGATATTGTATTTGGTGGGACTGAATCAACAGCCGTTACAATAGAATGGGCAATGTCAAATTTACTTAATCACCCTGAGGCTCTGGAGAAGGCAAAGAAAGAGTTGGACACAAAGATCGATGATAAAGAAAGCTTGATGGATGAAACTGTTGTTTCTAATTTACCATATCTTCAAAGTATTATAACAGAAACCCTAAGATTGCATCCACCAGGTCCACTCCTTATTCCACATTTATCATCTCAAGAGTGTAATGTTGGAGGGTACAGTGTTGAACCCAATACAATGCTGCTTGTTAATGCTTGGGCTAATGCTTGGGCTGTACATAGAAACCTAAGTTCTGGGATTACGCAGCATAAATTTTAAGCCTGAGAGATAGCCTGAGAGATTTGAGAGTGGAACTAATCAAGGTATTGAAGCCAACAAGTTGTTGCCTTTTGGGTTAGGAAGGAGGTCATGTCCTGGGATTGGTTTAGCCAACCGGGTTGTAGGGTTTGGTTTAGGGTCTTTGATTCAGTGCTTTGAATGGAGAAGGTTAAGTCATCAGGAAATTGATATGTCTGAAGGGATTGGACTCACCATGCCCAAAGCTCAGCCATTAGTGGCCATGTGCAAGGCACGTGATATCATGACGAAAGCCCTATCTTCTTCTCCATGAAGCTTGACTTACTTCTTGGAATGTTGTAATATAAAGCAAGTTCTTTTGTGTTAATTTGTAATAATGACTTTTATATTATGAATGTTAAGATGTATGAGTTCGGTTCTCACATTCTTCCTGTTCAGTTCTTATTCTCTGTCTTTCTATTTTTGTCTTATTTACTCTCACCCTCTTTATAAGGTTAATTAAAAAATATATATTTAGCTCTCTTTGCATGGTTTGATTAAATTCGAAGGTTCGCGAAGGTTCGCTGGATTACTATCTTCTTTGTCACTTTGTGCACTGTCTGGCTTAGAAGAAATAGATTGGTGTTCAACTTACAAAGGTTGGATTGTGAATCCTTACAACTAATCACCCTTATTTACCATATTCAATTAGCGATTGGTTGTCACAACCAATGTTAGTTAGCACTTATGTTCATAACAATTTGAACTCTTTCTCTTTTCCAAGATCTTTGGTATGTTGGGAAAATCAAATAGATGGGATATTAAAGTTCAACATAGATGGTGCCGCTAGAGGAAAACTAGGTCTAACTGGAATTGGTAGAATGGTAAGAAATTCCAAAGTCGTGGTGCTATACATTGATGGTGCCGCTAGAGGAAAACTAGGTCTAACTGGAATTGGTAGAATGGTAAGAAATTCCAAAGTCGTGGTGCTATACATTTTCTATCAATATGTGGGAGTGGTAGTTTTAAATGAAGCATAAATTCTTGCAATTTTTAGAGTTGTGAAATTTTTTCGGGTTCAAATCTTGAAATTCTCCTGTAATCTTTGAGTTTGATTCTAAGAATGCCATTAATTGGGTTGATAACAAAGAAACATGGTTTTGGAAATGGTGGGAGCTCTTTAATAAAATGAAAGTTCAGCTCCATATAGTGTAGGAGTCAAAGATCGGAGTCATTGGAGTCAATTTCATTTAAAGAAATTACCGTTGCTATTGATGAATTTTCATATTTTGAAAAGTTGAAATCAATAATATTAAAGCTATACTTTAAAAAAAATAATTATTGATTTACCTATTAACTTTCCAATCTATAAGAGCAAGAGTTCTTTTCTTTATTAAAGACACATCTTCTTTCAGTCCGGTTCCTCTCTCTCTTTTTTTTTATTTTTTGGCTTTAAAGCTTTTCTTTTTTATTCATTAGCAATATCAACAGCTTGAAAATAAGTTTGTCTACTAATAGGGGATAGCCTTCCCTGAGAAGTAAAAATAGTTTATGGATAAATTATCAAATTATCAAATTTAATAGGGCTAAAATTGCTAATACCTATATATATATGAGAAAAACAATTGTGAACCCACTACTTTGTCTGTGGCGCGGCCACTGGCTCCATTCTTTATTTCTAGTGGGTTTTACTTTCGAGGGGAAAGAATATTTTCACGGATGGGCCTCCTAAGAAAGGTGTAGATGCATTAATCCCTTTTTTTGCATGGACTCGAGAAATATGCATCTACCTTTATTGAAAGTTTGAAGGTACAATTGTGTTTTGCATATCTTTGCTTTGTTCTATAAGACATCAGTTTTCTATTTATGCGAATCTCATTACAGATTCCAGCCTATCTGGGAGGAGGCTAGATAGTTTATTTTCAAAGTATACAGCTACAATTTCCTCAACATCTATTTCTTGAAATCTTCTTTAAGTTCAAAAAAATCTGCTACCAGAACCATCTTGAAAGAAAAGAGCAAGTTCAATTAGCCTCTTACCTGTACTATCGATTAAATGCTTTGAAGTAGTCCCAATATCAGTTCTTTTCAGGAGTTCAAGAGCCCATTCACTTTGAGAACCTAAAGCTTCCATCAAGATGATCCATTGCATTCCATTTCTGATTTCTTCTTATTTCTGATTTCAAGATCAACTATATGTATCTTTTTTTAACCTGCCACGTGCTCTAGAATAGCCTGGATTCCTGAAAAAATGGGCAATTCGACAGAAGGGAATTGCTTGGTGATATGCAATGGCGGGTGAGCTTATGGCTGTTATTGCTTCATGCATATCAAACGACTGCTTTTTCTCCACGATTCCTAATTGTGCATCTATTCTCTCTTGAAGAGCTTCAGGGAAGTAATAAACGACTCGTTGAACTGGATCTAACGAAAAAGGCCATGAATGTTTTTTAGCAATCTCCCCCCACTGTAAAACTGTTGATTGCCCACTTTCTCAGCAGAAGCCAGGAGGCATTGCACGAGTTCTACGTCTCTGATTGCTAAGGCATTGCACGAGTTCTACGTCTCTGGATTGCTGCTTCATCAGAGAAGCCCAAGGAAATATGAAAAGGATTTTTAAGCAGGTGAATAACATCTATTGCCTGGGAAGAGGACTTGAGAAACCTTGCTCCTGCAATTCTAAGAATTTCTTCTGTTGACAATTCCTGGCATACCGCCTTATTATTATTACAATGTATATCTTTTTCTTCGATCTTCAATCTTTTAAACCCCTTACTGTATTGTCTTAATAGTTCAAATGGAAATGCATTTCCTTTCTTTGACTGTTCGAGTTGTCTCCATATGTTTTCTTGATAGATTCTGTTATCAGAGCAAAGGGAATCAGGATCAGAACCTACAGATTCTTGCAGTTGTCTCATATGTTTTCTTGATAGATTCTGTTATCAGAGCAAAGGGATCCCACGGATCAGAACCTGACAGATTCTTCAGTTTCTTTCAGATTCAGAAAAAAGACTTTCTACTTTTGTTTGCTGCTTCCTCACTCTCAGGATAAATAAATAAATAAAGATATAAAACATTAGGAGCCAGTAACCATAAAAAGTTACTTAAAATTTCGAAAGGAATTAAAGAAACCATTTCAGTTAACAAAGAGCAGATAAAAGCAGAGTACATCGAGTACATCGATTTAACTATAAAATTCATTTGCAAATAATAAAATTTAACTTAATTATATTAAATTCTTGAAAGAACTACCAATATAGAATAGAATAAAAAATGCAAGACCAACATGCTTCGTTTTGTATTGAAAAGCTACGACTTACCAGTTCTTATAAAATCTAATTGATTGAAATTCCATCTAGTAATTATAAATTTCTATCTTTGAGTGAACATTCAATCAACAAAAAGAAGATAGTATTTAAAGAGCAACAACTATGATTAGCATTCCTTTCACATCAAATATAATTGTAAACACGAAATTCCAAACAAAAATCAAATACAAATTGATAGTATTGATTTTTATAGTATTTTTATTGCAATTTTGATTGAAATTTCTATTACTTTTAATTTATTTAAATTAGTTTTTACGTAATATTGATATGTTTTTATTCAAAAGCACTACGACTCCCCAACCAGTAGTATCCAAAGTGTTTCACGTTTACCAGTGGAAGCCACAATTATATGTGGGTCTTCACAAAAAAAAAAAAAAAAAAAAAACATGAGGCAAGGAATAAAAGAAAAAGAAAAAACTCTAAAATAGGAACAAAAAGATCATAGTGTGTATAAAATATACCAATTGATTTCAAGAACACCTTGAATCAGTTGTTCTAAGGCAAGCCGCAAAAAAACTGATATTGAGCAACTGTAGTCTTATGTACACAACCACCCTCTCTCCTCCCCTACAGATTCTAAAACAGAATTTTGAACAACCAAATTATCAAATAGTAAGATGGGCTTTGCAGAATCTCACCCACCAAAAATTCAGTGTATGAATTGTCTATCATCAGTCAGGCCACTATTAATATCTGTAGCCTGAAGATCCTGGTGGTGCAGGTGGCAATCGATTAGGAGTACGCCGGCTGCCTGAGTTTGAACCATTGCTTAAATCGCCATTCTGTGCTGAATCATTGTGATGCCGACTGCGGCCATTAGATGTAGACCTGGACGAACCATAGTCCACAGAACCATTTGCAGCTGCATCAAATGCTGTTCTCCAGTCATCACCTGATGGACCATTTGACTTGGGGCTGCTTTCTGCAATTAGGTAATCCAAAATATTTATAGAGCATTAGAATCAAAATATTTACCCAAAAAATGACACCATTAAAAAACTTCAAAGAAATCCTACATCATCAACATATTACAGGCTCTTTCCAACATACCTGCACTACCATTCGACCAATTAGAAGCAGCAGCTGCCCGGTTGTCATGAATCTGAGTTGGCGTGTTAACTTAGAGAGCAGAGAGGACTGTTTCTGGTAGCGCTCTCTCCTGCGTTTTACATTCTGATCCTCTTGAAGTAGCTCTTCAATCCTCGCCGTGCTTTGAGCACTAGCCATCAATCAAACAGAAAAGATGTAAATAAGAACAACTTTACATTTGATCCATCTGCAGAATATGCATAGGACATCTATATGAACTATAACAATGGAAGAAAAAAAGCATCACATGAAGAGAGAGACAAGGAGACTTGTAACCATAAAATGAAGCCAATAAAAAGCCATGGAACAAGTTCCCAGTACAGCAAAAATGAGTTTCAGCAGTAGATAATTCATCAAACCTGACAGAGCTATACAACTGATTTAGCATATCTTCCTTGGCCTTCTCAACTTGGCAAAGAACAACAGCCTGCTTACCAATCACATTGTGTCACCAAATGTTTTCACAAAAGCTCAATTATAAAGATAATGAAGACCAAAGTAAAGAAGTATGCTTACTTTGGGAACATTAGCAGCCAAGCTATTCAAGACTGCTTCAACATAACCACGCACTTCCTGAGACATCCATCTGAGCTCTTCCTCAGGGTCTGCAGGTCTCCGAACCATTGTATCCTGCACAAAACCGAAGACCAATTTTCATTTGAGAATTTTGCAAAGCTAACCCAACAATCTCCAAAATCTAGTGTATTTTTATTCCATAGAACATAAAAATTAACAGGTAACCCGTAAGTGCAAGTGACAACTGAAAAACGACAACTGTTAAATAATGAAGAAAAACAAAAACAGAAACCCAACAATCTTCCAGTCTTGAACACAAGACTAGAAGATTTAGAATCTGGTCCGTTGGCCTTTTTATCCTTTGAACTCTTTGAGGGAGGTGGCCCTTCCTCATCAGAGACCTCTTCAATAGTGCATTCCTGAGCATAGGAAAAAACAACTCTTGGTATGCAATGCCAAAATCGAAAACAATTAAAAATACCAAAAGTAAGCAGCATATGTAAATATGAAGTGCCATCATGGGATGGAGTCAGTTCTAGAGATTATTAGTGATGCTGCTAATAGAAAATCGTAGGCTAACATATAAAGAGTTTTGAACCAACAAACAATTTAAAGTGGGTAATGGCCACAATCTTCAGTTCTAGTAAAGATGTACATGCTAGAGAACACCAAAATAAATAAATACATAGATAAATACAACTTAATATACCTTCCCCCCAACAAAGGCCCCTCCACAATTTCCACCACCACTTACAAAACATCCTAATTTCCCATGTTTACATTTGTTTCATTGCCATTAGCTGAGTTTCAAAACATATCAATACCACTTTTTTCCTTTAATTGTGTTGTTATTATTATTATTATTATTATTATTATTATTATTATTATTATTATTATTATTATTATATTAGTTGCTCCTTGCTCATTTGATTTTTCCTTTTTCTTTTTTCGCCAAATACATAATTTAACCGCTCTACTTTCATAAAAAGATCGTGTCCCCCCCTGAATTTAAAAAATGACCTTGTAGCCTCTGAACTTCACTTCTTAACCTTGTCCCCTAAATTTATATTTTTCTGCACTTGTAGGCCCCTGAAGCTTATTCACTTTTCAACCTACAAGGTGTGAGATACAAAAAATAAAATCCAGAAGCACTTAAGGTGAAAAAGTGAAGTTTATGATGTCACAAGGTCATTTTAAAGTTCAGAGGGGGCCATAATGCCTTTTTGTGAAAGTTAGGAATAAAATGATATATTCCGCCTATTTTTTTTCATTTGTTAGCTACATATATAGTGCTAGGTTACTGTCACGACCCATTTCCATGGACCGGACCGGCACTAGGACCTGGGTGGGCTTAAGGCCCCCGAAGCCCGTAGTAAGCCTAACTTATTTAAATCTCTCAATATCTCAAATTATGGCATTTAAGGCCCATTAACAATTTATACATATGGCATCCAACATGCAGTTCATATATTTGATATGGGATTTTACTTTTATTTACAACCCCAATGGAATACAAGTTCGCAGAACTACTAACCTTTACATCACATCGTTATTTCTATCAAATTACAAGGCTTCTAGAATCACACGTGTTTCAACTCCCATAGGGCTTCATTTCTTTCATTACTGAAAAAAATCAGTAGGCAGGGATGAGCCGCCAAACTAGGTAGGGTTAAGATAACCCTGGCCCCATACAGATCACACAAATGCTAAAAATCTTTCATACTTGAGTTCACTCGTTAGTTATATGATCATTGCAGTTGTCACACAAATCGCAATAACAACAGCATATTATGCTATCACCTTCATTTAATCAGCATCACGTGGAAATTAAGTTCAATGCACCACCTGATCCCCAGCGAGCCCGTCCTAAACATGGTTCGCCTCTCATACATGTCCACCCAGGGAGCCGATCCCCATAGTGCCAACTGGTCATCTCACTGACACAGTCCTTCTCATTGTTTTTTTTCCATTCATCTCTTTTCGTTTCATACCGCACAGGAAGGCAAACCCTGCGTCTCATCCATCTATATCATCCACATGCTCACACAGGAGGCCACCCTGGAATCTCACAATCAAATCTAGGTTATCAGGGTGCGCACACAAGGGAGCCAATCCTTTGATTTTTCCGCATCATAATCACATGATATTCAGTGCAACATGGCGACGCATCTCGCCATTTTCACCGGACACGGTCCAAATTCCAATTGCCATATATATTCAGGATCATATCACAGACCGTCCTCACAAACCATTGTGGCCACTCATCACCAATTCACACAAACAAGGCACATATATTGGCATAGCACAAGTAATCACAAACAATTTTAACTATCAACGATACGTGGCATCCATAACTATGGCAATTCAACATAATAACGGCATGATAACATTTGCTGAAGGCTGGAATGCAGGCGGTGGATGCTGTTATCTAACACTACTCACAGTTCCTTATTGTCCTTGAAATACGGACTGCCTTATTTAGCACATGCTTCCAGCATTTATCGCATTTTGTTTTTATAGCCTTTAAAAATAACAAGAAAATCTCTAAATAATGTTTAATTCAAAACTAGATTTTCACATTGTTTACTTCTTCATTGGCTACCGGTACATTTTAATTCACTTTTAATATGCATCTAGTATCTAGGTTCCCTCATTTTTAAATAACTAGTCAATTTATACCTGTCAGTAAAATCTCTAATTATTCGGTGAGAATATAATAATGATAATTGCTAAATATTGTATAATATTTCTATACCTCAACATTTTCGTCGTCATGACTTTCTTAAGGATAACGGATAATTAATTCTTTATTAAGTGTTTTAATTAAAGATTCTGAAGCATTTTCCTCTAGTAAAGCTGGACCTATCCAATTTTTTTCAATTTTCACAATCCACGACACAGCCATCACATCGGGAAATCATATCAACTCAAGTCCCGTCCAGCCATATCCATTCATTTTTCGGTCAACTTATTCACAATCCATTTAATTATTGTTCATAACTATTTATTTGTAAGTAATTCCTAAAAGTTACTTATTTAGCTAGGAATATATTTTTTTTTATGTACCAACCCTTATAGTTAATAATTAATATTCATACAAAATCCTATTTATAAATCTTAAATTTATTTACTTAAATACTTAATTAGTTCATTAATATTAACATTAATTCAGAAGATTGTATTCACACGATTGCGCTATTTGGAGTTTAAAACAAAAATTGGGAAACAGGTATTAGGGCGTACCGTTTGAGAATCGGACCTCAATTCCATGATCCACGCGAAGAGGAGATCATTCTGCCTCTTGGAGTCCTCACCGGAGTCTCGTCGTCCGGTCACCGAAATGCCGCCGCGCACGGTGGCCGGAAAATCACGGATGCCCAGAACATTACAAAGTTGCCACCACCAGACTCCAATTTCTCTACTGGTTCCATTTCCGATGTCCATTGAGCGAGATGAAACCTCTAACTGGGCGGATCGAACTTGACAGGAGCTTGGCGACCTCGTTCATGGTGATTTCATCATCTGAGCTCCGTTGCCATGATTGATAGAGGGGAATTGATCGGGTTGAGGAGAGGAAGCGATCTGTACCCTTGGTACACGTCGAACCCGTCGGAAATGGCGAGAAGCCGCCGGAGATCGAGACGCAAGGAAGGTGACTTGCACAGGTTCGATTTGCATTGATGGATGCCCTTTTTGCGTGAGAGGTGGTCGGAAACATGAGCTCCAGCGTCAGGCGAGTTGATCGCCACCAAGCCCTCCCTGAACAGTGGTCGGAGATGGGAAGGGAGGTGGTGGAGGGGTTGTCGCGCGATGGAGAGGGAAGAAGAAGAAAAGAAGAAAAGAAAAGAGAAGCCCAAAGCTTCTAGACCATTCCGGTTCGATTCGAACCGATTTGGTCCGATTTAGTGATTTGGTCTCATTCGTTTGGTTTTCGAGTTTTTCAATCGATTTTCGGATCCTTCGTGTGGTTCTCTCGACAAATTAAATTGATTTTTAGGTCCGGTTTGATTTATTTTGATTGTTTACTTCCGTTCCGTAATATTTTCTTAATTTATTCAATAATCATAAAATCTTAATAGCAAAGATACTTAATTTTAAGCTAATTAATTTATATAGTAGTTACATACATATAAACACATTTATAATCGATTAGCAATTAGTGTTCCATTTTATTTTCTTCGAAATTTTAACTGTTACCCAAATGAAAATTCCGAATAATATGTTTTTGGGCTTGGGCCCAATTCGTAAAACTTTGGGCTCAATTAGAATTACTCGGTCTTAACAGCTCATACTATCATAAATTCGGATTTTTGATTTAATGAAAATTCCAAAGTGGTTAGTGGGAAGGATAAGAATGGATGCATCGGGAATTTGAAAGTCACAAGAAATTGCTTCCAACTCACAAGGAGAAGTCAAAAGCGGAAAATTACAGATCGAAGACAAGGCAGTAGTGAGGGTCATTCGGGTTTGTACATTCTAACAGCCAACTTTCATATTATTAGAATAAATTTCGTTCAAGCGCATAGTGACCCTAGCTGAAGCTTATACGGAGTTTTATTACTTATGCTTCCAGTACTTCAATCGTTCGGCTAATTGGAATCTTAGAAATCGTTCTTTAATAAAAATCTTATAATTACACCGACGTTCTTCTCATAAAATCTTAATATAATATCTATGTTTCCCAAGATTATTTTATTTGCATCTTGAAAAATTATCTTTTTACCCAATTCTTTATGAAATCAAAATATATATGTAAAACAAGATCTTGAAATTTAATTTATTTATTATAACACTTGGATTTATTTAACTTTACATATTATGGACTAATTTTGCTTAATCAAAGTTGAAAAAAACTATTACTATTCAATCCAAAAATTTTAAGAATTATTTTTTTTTTTTTTCTTTGTAGATTTCCCATTTTTTAATAATCGAGGGTGATTCGAGCTCACTCATCAGTGTCTTTTTTATTCTTCACGACTTTCATCCGATCTTACTATTGTTTCAATCTATCTTTATCATTTTCTTAAACGCTTCCCGATCCTAACGCTTTCTTAAATTCGACATCCATCACCATTAAGAACATCAAACTGCCAATTTCTTTATACACCCACTCTGCGTCAAAACTAAAATACTTTATTCGTGTTCCATATGAACAAGTTTAATTTATGCTTAATAAAGTATGAATGATGCAGGCCACTTAATTAGACCCTTATAATACTTTAGCTAATCGTTAAATTTTCCATCCAAGTCTTTATATAGTATCATTTATTTATCTCATCCTTATTACTTTATGGTCTAGCAAGGTATTATAAGTTTCCCTTAAGATTTATCAATGTAGACCGTCTATCATTTCTAGTATCTCTCAGGTTTAGACACACTGCCACCTGGATCGTATTATTAGACATCGACTGAGTTTTGT